GTGTAGCTTTGCGCGAAATTCCAAAACAAACAAACAAACAATACATCCGATAAGTTGCATTCTGAAATGTTGCATACATTCCTGAATGCAGTACTTTAACTACCAATGTAAGAGTTTAGTTCTATTCACCTACATGATAATAATAATAATACTTTATTGCTAGGGGGCCAAGAAACACATTTGCTGAAACCGTTGAATATTATCCCTGAGCTGCGTAATTGTGTTGTGGTAACAGACAGTCTGGAATTGTGAAGGCCATAGAAAATGCGCTTCCAGAAGCAAAACATGTAATTTGTTAGAACCATTTACTAGCGTGCAGATTTGACGAAAGCAGACAGTTGTATAAGTAAATAATGTTATTGGCCTACTGGACAGCAAAACATGGGATTATTTTTTAAATCTCCTAAAGATACTAGGCAAGAAATGAGGTTTAACATTTCTACAATACTTTGATAAATACTTAAAGAATGACATAACTGGAAAATTTGGTGGTTGTTGGATGGTTTGGACACAACAACCAGTGATGTAACAATAAATATCTTAGAAAGCATGAATGTTGTGCTCAAAATACTCACCAAATAGAAAGAAGTCAACATTGATTCAATTCTTTTTTGCCTTCTATTTGTTGCAAACGTTTTATCACAGGGAAGTTTTAAGAGGACGCTGTAGAATTGGAAACTATTACCTAACTAACGAGCATTCCTATATGGAAATGGACATTGCAGAGACTGACTTTCTCCAAGATTATGTTGCACCAAAGGACATTATTTCATTCTTGCAAGAAGGCAAGTAGAAGCTGAGCTGCCAGGAAGATGAGTCAAAAATAAAATATCTCAGGTCTAAAACATTGTAAGGGTTGGCGGAGCTGCCTCTAAAACAAAATCGCATATTCCCTAACCCACAAACGGGTACTTTTATTGTTAAAGAGCTCAGAGGTAAGGATCATGTTATTAATCTTTTTTCTTATGAAAAATGTTCGTTTAACAGCACCCAGATATGCTACCATATTGGTTGGTTGTTTGGCGTTTTATGGCGGGAAGCAACTTGGCTATCTGTGCCATACAATCAGTAAAAAATCTGCAAGTTAAATACAATAAAATGTAAAAAGAAAACAAGTTAAATACAATAAAATGTAAAAAGAAAACAAGTTAAATACAATAAAATGTAAAAAGAAAACAAGTTAAATACAATAAAATGTAAAAAGAAAACAAGTTAAACATGAAACAATGTCCAAAAAGCAGGTACAAGACTCAAATAGATTTAAAAGGCCAAAGGCCTGTAAAAACTAAAAACACAATCAATTTGGACAGCTTCACCATCGCCAATGACACCGTCCAACATCAAGGGTAAACCCTTTGAAAATACATGTCTAAAATTGTGCCATTTCTCACATTTGGCACGATAGTAAAACGTGGGCAGTTGTGACCTGACATTCTTCTGCCAGATTTGGTTAAAAATAACCAGAAGAAGAGCAAGAGAGATAGGAGAGAAATAGTACAGCATTTCACAGTGAACGTCATCGGGTCTGATTGAAATACTGCCAGACTGATGAAGAGCAAGCTTAAGAGTCACAAGTGTAAATGGGCGATTATAATAATAGAGATGATCTGCACAAAAGGAAAGGGGTGATCTCCAAATCTTGTCCCAGACG